TAAGCAGTTATTAATGGATCGACAAGAGAATTGCTTTACTTGGTTTACTTGATATCTGCGAGACTTTAATGAGGTTAGATCTGAAACTTTTCCTCGCAGGCGCTGGTGGCATGTCGTCTGTTTGAGTCGCTAGCAAACGACGCCTCACAAAACTATTTGGAGCTGGAAATCTGCGAAGAACTTCGGAAGAATAGCGAGTATGTGCTGGGGTGAACTCACACTTCTGATCGATTTCATATTTACTACGTTTTAGGGAATTTCGAGAGTTATCGATTGAAGCATTACAATACTGTACAGAGCAGGACAAGGATATCACACTGCAGCTTCTTACCTATGAGTTAACAAACTGGGGCAATGAGACCTGCCTCTCCTTAGCTGCTTTGAACAATAATCGACAGTTTTTGGCTCATCCATGGTGAGTCTACTACGAATTAAATGCAAGTCCTCGCTGTTCATATGGGCGGGATTGGGCATAGTAGTGAGCCTTCCTCATTGGTGCGCTCCTACTCCTCACGATCTCAAAAAGGAGTGAGGTTTCAACGATAGAAAGGATAAAGATGTCTGTGAGGAGGACACAATGGTAGGCCCGACCCAGTCTACGATGTTCAAATTCTCTTAATTTAATTCTTAAATTTAATAGCGTTATCTCCGCAGTCTTTCTGAACAACATATTTCTTACGATAATAACAAGCCAAAGCTCACACAATCGGGGCACGTCATTCCTCGATGGCGGTCGTATTTGGTAGCGAGAAGGGGAAGTGGTGGTTCATACTTTGGCCTGAAAAAATGCTTTGAAAAATGTTGTGCGAATCCGACAACCACGTCTAGCGCCGCACAACTACTACTTCTAGAAGCTGATCTAAGATGCTCATTCAAACGCCAGTTTTTTTGAAGCTTCGAGTGAGGTGATCGGACGGGCAATGGTGTGGCAGAATGGGGACAGGGGGATGCTGTACCGAACGAGAAAGTTCGGGAGAAGGGAGGGGTAGGGGTATATGGATTTAGTTGGAAGAAGTTCTCTCAAACGTCAGAACTTGCTCTGCGCACGTGCTACTGTTCATAAGTGAAGTGCTGTGGTGACTGAATGAGTTAGAAATCATTCTCAGGAGAGAGTTTTACTATATTTGTTGATCACACTTTTCAGCTGTCAACTGCTCTTATCTGATTTGTGGCAAGGTGGACTTCATATTAGGAACAGTGCTAACCTCAAGGTATCTAGTTGAGTTGCCTTTCAACTTTCAACAGACTGCTTTGAAATAGTATATATGGCCATTTGGGAATAAAAGATGGGGTGTCAGGGGTACTCAAAAATCGTTCATACTCTGCGTCGCCGTTTTCGGCGTTTCGAGCGTAAGCCAGTGTTGTGAGCGTTTTGAACAGTTAGAATATGTAGGTATGGATCTGCCGTTTTAGGCGTCCGCCAGCGTAATCAGCGGACTAGCCGCGACATGTTCAAAACGCTGACGTGCGCTCAAAAAGCTGACGCAAAGTATAAACGTACTCTAACTCTATTATACTTATACTACTTGAGCCACTATCTCAGTTTTTTTGTTAGTATGTGGGTTTCTGAAGTCTTGTTTAGGTCCTTGGCTCTCTACTAATGCCGGCTATGATTTTCATGATGGAGTACAAGACCAAGGAAGAGCTGATGCTTCAACCGCATACCTTTGCCGAACATCTTGAGGAGAACTCTGAAAGCGATTCATCGCTCAGCGACGATACCAGCTTTAGCGATAGCAGTTCAAGTGAGACAGAGGAGGTTAGAAGATATCCTAAAAACTCCTCGCGTCGTACAAAATAATACCACTTTTAATAACACCACTTTTACAATAATAACGCCAGTGATGAGGTAATACCGCTTTTACAAGGTCAAAATGACTAGAAAATCCTTATGTACCTCGCGTGG